CATCAAGATGATATTGAAGGTATCAAGGTTTTGTACAAATACTAATTTCCCCCTATTACGTTCAAACTACACCAGTCCTTTTCTGTTAATATTGATAAACAAGTTGAGTTTGAACTAACTTAATTAAGAATTCGACTCGATAGAGGCTCAAACTCGAACTCAAATATCCGTACATTTGCACAAATATCTGGCAACATGATAAATCATTTCAATGGGGGTATGCTATTGTGCGCACGTGATATGTTTATTAAATAATGCCTAAAGGGGTTAAGTTGTACGTACATCTGAAAAGTTGAGTAGTGACAGCCAAAAACAACTGGATTTCTCCAAATCTCTTGATTTGGAAGTGAAGTGAAAATTAGATAATATCGAACGAACACGTAAAATAAAATAAATTAAAATAATATATTATGAGCGGATTTGAAATTTTTGTAACAGAAAGTAAAATAATTTATATTTAAATTGTATATTGGTTATTAATAATAATGTATTTAATAATAAATACTGATCATGCAAACCCGATTGATCCAAGCAAGTCGATGCCCGAGTTGACAGTGTCAAGGCCGAGTTAGTCCTGGATTTGATTACCCATCCATTGTTACAGAATGACCCATCTAGATCGGTTTCGGATATGGGTTAAACAATGGGCCGGCCGGGTTAGTTAAAATATATATGAATAAACAGTGAAACCCATGAAGCTGGTTTTGTTGGTTTCCCAACATGACATTATAGCAGCTGGCTGGCTTCAACTTCAATTATTTTCATTCATGCTGCTGTCAACTCTTCTTTTCTTTCTTCAGATGTATGTACCTTCAATTTTCTGTTCAATCTTTAAATCAATCACAATCATATACTAAAAATTTATCCTAAAGTTTGAACATTGAACCATGCGCGTAATTTTTAATTTCAATAGAAAATTTTGAAAACATTTATATTTATTTAGTCAGACTTCAAAATTTAAATCCCAAATTTTCTGAAAAAAGAAAATGTCCAGCAACAAGGAAAATAAATGCCCAGCTGTGTCAATGCAGATGATAGCCATACCCATTTAATTTTGAGTGACCTTTGTTGTACATCATAAAACGGCCATTTATTCTAGGAAAAAACATATAATTTTAATAATAATAATAATAACTTTTAGCCATTGATTTTATTCAATTATTATTATTATTATTATTTTTTTTTTTTGTTTGAACTTGGGATAAGTATTAATATTTGTATTGAAAGTGTGAACTGAAATTCTTATTTCTTGCACTAAGAATAAAATATAAGTAGAAAGACGCTCTGTCAAATAGCAATTAGGCGTTGTCTAAGCGAATGCGAAGTTAGTCACGCCTATATTGATAAGGTGGTTACGTAGGCGGTTCAGGCACCACCGTATCTGTTTCATTTTTTTTTCATTTTTAAAAAATATTATAAAACTATATTTTATTTTTTATCCATAAAGTCTACAATAATTAATTATAAATAATAAAGAATAATAAATACGTAAAATTAATATAATAAGTATATAATATTTTTGAAAATAATTTTATTAAACAATGCTAATTAGTATAATTTATAAATATATTTTTTAAGTTGTGAAGATTATAAATATAAATAAATTTATTGGTATTTCTATGACGCCATTCTAACCCCGTCCGCACAGGCGTTACTCCATGTTTTGAAAAAATTAATCACACTTGAAAGTAATTAATTAAATTGGAAATAAAGTTTTTTTTTTTAATTTTATATTGACTCATAATTGGATTTCATTCTTTAATTCAAAATTTCCCTCAAACTTAGTTTTATTAATATTTTTAACATATTTCAATATTAAAAATCAATCGCTATTACACAATTTATGATAAAATTCACTGTTCACCAGCTTACATATTTTTAAATAACACTTATTTACTATCATTATTTACTACTATTACATCACATCAGTTTTAATTTTAATTATTACATTATTCAACAAAATTTTTAGAGGCATTAAATAGACTTAGGGGCAATCTTGGAAATAAGTGAAGAAAATGCCACTATAAAATCAACAAGCCGGGGCTTAATGTGGAGCATAAAATCAACATACATATTATTTCCAGTGATGGCTACAAAACTTGTTCTTGCACTGATTTTTTCCCTCCTTTATCTTTTGCAGGCAAGAATAGTAAAATTTATATTTATATAAAATTGTTATTTTTTTATTTTTTTTTTTGAGCAAAATGTAGCTAGCTAATACTCTAAAATTAGTACAACATATTTTATTTACTAAAGTATTTATTTTACTTTTTATATAGTGTTATTTTCTTTTTTATATATATTGAACATTATTTTGCAGGTGTCCTCTGATCCCAGAAATATTAATGGAGAAACAAACCATGCTAGCCAGGCATTGCATGTGAGTCTTTAATCTGTTCACTTTTTTTTTTTTTTTTTAAATATTTTTTGGCCTTTTTTCCTAACTAATGTGGGTTCATTTTATATTTGGCTATACTTTATCTCATATCATATTTATAAATTAATTATAATTTATATTACTATAGATTGCAGAGTTTAAAACAAGTATAATATAATAAGTTGCATAAAAAAAAACATATATATATTACCCATTTTTTACACATGACATGTGTTCATTACCTTAATTTTAAGAGCATTTTGTTCTTGCTTGTTCAGATGCTTAGCAGAGGAGAGAGGAAGCTGATGCACAAATTCTGTGAGTTGTCTTAATATGTACTTTTGCTTTATAAATTCAAGATTTTGACAAAAGATACCAACTTTTTCTCTCTATTTTTTCTTTGGTTTAATTGCTAAATAAACCTTAATATTTTTGCGTTTGACAATTTTATCTCAATCATTGGGTAATTGCAATATAATATCGACCTCAATTTACTTATTGCAAATTTGGGTGCAGAATGATTGATTTTTTTAGGAATTTGTGGATCGATTTTGTGTCCAAGTCTTCCATTGACACGGGTTTTTATGCCATCCACGTAGCAAGTTGACAGTTTCCACGTATTTAATGTATATCCACACACAAAGTCGAAAATTCCACGTCAATGTAAGCTACCGGTGATGAGTCTCCTCCTAGATTTGGAGTGAACCGGTAAATATGAGCTCCGATCTGTTTGAACCGCCTTCAAATCAACCAGTTTTTTGAAGGTCCAACCGGTTCTAGGTTCGACTTGGATAAGTAAATTGTTGTCGAGATTATATTGCAATTACCTAAAGATTGGGATAAAATTGCAAAATGCAAAAAGGTTAAAGTTTATTTAGCAATTAACCTTTTTTTTTCCTTAATTATTTTGAATTAATATTGGTGATGCTGATGCAGCACAGTTTAAATAAATAGCTTTGAATGAGGGTATCAATTACACTCATTCTGGCAATATGCACTAATTAGCCTCACTTGTCCTTTTTTTTCCCTTATTGATTGATTTTTTCAGATTCACTGTACTGAAACTAATTACTAATTACACATGTTCTACTGTGCTCTTAGTGTGCCTGTGGGGTTCTCATGTAACTTTCTAAGATATTTCTACAAACACAATTTCTTGTGTAAATCGGCCTATTCATTAGGCTGGTCGATCCATCGTAGTTTTTCAGCAATAATGGACGGCAATAATACTGTCAAATATCATACTTTATTTTAGAGTATGAATGGCAATTCAACTTGAAAATATGTAAATTAGTTCAAAAAGTAGTACGACTGTCTAACGATTAGGTTTGCTTAATAATAGTTTTTACAAGTTGGATCCTTTTCAACAGACCTCGATGTCTCCAAGTATATTTACAACCCGATGATCTCCCGAGCGCTTGCTTTTGCCCCGGCTCCGAGCCCAAGCCCAAGCCTAAGCCTGGACTGCAACGGGCTGTGCCAGCACAGGTGCAGCCATCACTCAAGGCCGAAGGTGTGTTTTAGGGCTTGTGGGACTTGCTGTGTGAGGTGCAAATGTGTGCCTCCAGGGACCTCTGGCAACAGGGAAGTGTGTGGAAAGTGTTATACTGACATGACAACACATGGAAATAAGACCAAGTGTCCTTGAGTACTTGAAGTTGAGTGAGGTCATGTTGTTTGTTGCTTTTTTTTTTTATTTAGATTTTTTTGATGGATTTATGTTGATTTTTTTAAGTTTGGTTGGTACTATTTTGTTGTAGTGATGTGTTTGATGGGGCTATGTTTTTTTTTAACTTGGGTGAAAGTGAAATGTTTTTTTATGCATTTATCCTTATCTTAGACCTACTCCAATGGTACTGTAAAACCCAAATTTTGCAGTAGAATTTGCTCCAACCGTACTGAAAAACTCATCGCAAAATGAGTTTATACCCTTCTCTCTCTCCATTTCGACGCAAATTTGC